ACACGGTCACCTTGTAAAGGCACTCCACCTGGTCTAAAGGGTTAACTTGCTTCAAGCTTACGCACCTCTCGCTTGCTGACCTAAGTCCCTTGCTCTGTAGCAGAACTAATGTACTTTCCTTGAGATTTGTAGACCATTGGTCTCGAGAAGGGAAGGACCAAACTTTCCAAGAAGATGAGGCCAAACCACATTCAAAAACAGCTGCCACTGAAACCAGCAAGTTTGTTCAGAATCATGTCACCAAACAAGGAACCGACTAACCCCATGGGCACCAGCTTCTCGGGCACATAGTGCCCCACCCCCCAGTCCCATGACTTACCCTTTAAAACTCCCCATTTCACCTGGACAGGGAAGATGGCCTTTGAGACGCCTGCTTGCCATCTTCCCAGGTTGCTGGCTTTCTGGATAAAGCAACTTTTCCTTTCCCAGCATCACTTGTCTTGGAGTATTGATTTTTGAGTGGCGCGCAGTGGGACCTGACTTCGAACCAGTGCTCTGGTAACAATCTATCAAGAAACATCCAAGTGCTGAGCCCAAAGCACCTCTTACGTTAACAGGGGACCCCGTGGAGGCACAGGTGCAGGGGTGGGAGGTCATGGCTAACACCCCCAGGGTGATGAAGTTTCTCGGTCTGCACTTTGCGTGGTGAGGTCTATGCACTGGGGGCACCATGGGATCATTAAAAACCTGTGATGCTTGAATCAGCCTCACTCTCCAGGTACATAAATCCTTGCCATGTGTTCATTCCATCTTTGTATGAGAGTTATGTTTTAATAAACCTTTTATTTATTTATTTTAAAGATTTTATTTATTTGACAGAGAGGGAGAGAGGCAGGAGAGCGGGAGCACAAGCAGGGGGAGTGGGAGAGGGGGAAGCGGGCTCCCTGCTCGGGGCTCGGTCCCAGGACCCTGGGACCGTGACCTGAGCCGAAGGCAGACGCCCGACGACTGAGCCCCCCAGGCGCCCCATTTTATAAACCTTTTAAATGTTGCTGAGAGTTATGGAGGTCCCCAACCAGGATGCCCAGGGGGACCCTCCAGCCTATGCGCGCTTCATGGGCCAGTTAAGCTCAGACCCATACTTTTTTTGGCTCCTGGAATGAAACCCAGGGAGCATCTGAACTTCGTCTTCACCCCTCCGTCTCCCCCCTTTTTTCTCCCCTCCTTCTGTGTTTTATGTTTCCGCTTCTCGGCCAGCCTGGGCTCTGACAGATCTGACGGATTATTCTTCACTGGCGGTGGCAATGCTCTGGCACCTGATTATGTGGTGTGAGCGAGAGGTGCCTTTTGAGAGTTGGGCTGCAGGGCTTGTGTCTGCGCTTTCTCTGGACCCATGGTTGGGGCACAGAACGCAGCCGCTCACTCCTGGGTGCTCATGATGGAGGAAAGCCCTTAATGCTCCTTGTCTACTTGCAGAACATTCTCCATTCTGCCAGAGGGTAGTAATAAAACAGGTGATAGGGGTGTCTGGGTACCTTCAGCTCGGGTCATGGTCCCAGGGTCCTGGGATCAAGCCCGACGTCGGGCTCCCCGCTTGGCAGGAAGCCTGCTTCTTCCTCTCACACACCCCCTGCTTTGTTCCCTCTCTTGCTGTCTGTCAAATAGATAAATAAAATCTTTAAAAAAAAAATAGGTGATAAATACAGCATACTGTGTTAATGTAAAGGTGCTCTGGTCTCAGTGGCTCAGCTAATACGCCGCCTTCTCCATCAACTCCTGAAGGCAAAAGCCGAGAGTGACCTGGAGAACCCACCAGGAATTCAGTTTCCCTGTGTATTCTGGGCCCTCCATACAACCCTTACTTGCCCTTGATCTGGTCTCCTCCACAAGAGACTTCCTTGTGTAGAGAAAAGTCAATAAAACAAGTCAACACAAAAATCATCTAAAAAGTAAAAGGTGCCAGGAAGAACTAAGCAGAGGGGACTTGAGAGAGCTCTCTGGGGCTGCTTTAGCTGAGGTGGTCAGGGAATCCTCTCTGAGGAGCTGATGTTAGAGCGGAGGCCCCATCTGCCATTTGGGGGAAGGATGTTCTAGACAAGGCAAAGACTCATCCATGTTGTAATTCCGGATCCATGAACTACATCCTGAAGGCAAAATACCGCCTACTTTGATAAATAATGTTTTATTGGAGGGGTGCCTGGCTGGCTGGCTCAGTCAGTAGAGCATGCAACTCTCAATCTCAGGGTCATGAGTTCAATCCCACAGACAGAAAAAAAAAGTTTTACTGGAACACAGCCAACCCTGTCTTTCTGAAAATTGTTTATGACTGCTTTTGTGCTACAACAGCACAACTGAGTAGCTGTGATAGAGACCATATGGCCAACAAAACCAAAAATATTCACTATGTGGCCCTTTGCAGAAAAAGTGTTCTGGCCTCTACTGTAGACGACGTTTTTTCACTGGTGTAGAATATCCCACTATGTGAATAGAGCACGACACACCCCTCCTTCTCCAATGCGTGTTTGGCTTTTCTGATAGTGGTGCCTGAGCATCCCTAAGTTGGGAGACGCTAAGTCCCGGGGTGTGCAGATGGTCAGCTGAACTAGAAGATGCCAAATGTTTTCCAAAACTCAAATACCCTCAAATATTTCCCACAAAAAGTTTTAATATTTTGTGTTTGGCTTCAAGTCCCAGATTCATCTGGAGTTGATTTTTGGGTGTGATATGGCCACACCAGATCTTCCTACAACCCAAACAGTTCTGCTTGTTTTTAACGATATTTTTTATTGATGTATAATAATTCACACAGCATAAAACTCAACCATTTAAAGTGTGTAGTTCAGTGCTTTTTAGTATATTCACAGGGTTTTGCAACTATCACCACTAATTCCAGAACATTTTCATTACCCTAAAAAGAAACCCCATGCCTATTGCTGCACTCTGCACTCCTCCTCCTTCCAACCCCTGGCGATCACAACAGTACAGCCTCTAGCTAACTTACTTAATGATGTACCTCAGTGTCACTTGGGACAAAAGTTTCTGCTGCTTACAAAAATGTTTGGAAACCTGTGTCTGGTACCAGACTGCCTCCCAGTGGATCTAGCATTCAAGCTGCCTAATGATGATGATGCCTCTCACTCTGGCTCTAGAAACAAACTAAGTGAATGTTCTCTCACAGGCAATTTCCTGAGGTGCGTTGCAGAGTTATAAGTGCATAAATAAGTCCAAAGGTTCAGGCCAATTTCAACTACCAAGAAAATGAGCCAGGGAACTCATGTCACTATAAGTACATAACTTGCAAGAAGGAGAATAATAAGCCCTCAGCACTTGGATTTTATTGTCCCATCTGTGGCTTCTGCACACAGCAAGCACCTGCTTGGATACAACACTCCAGGGACCAGCGTCCAGCAGGAGATGAGAGAGAGGCACAGCCCTGACCACACAGCTAAGTAGCCCCTCTTGTCACTCCTGAGACTTTGTATTTCCGTGCCTAGTTTTATTTTTTCTAAGGCACTCACACTTCCAGCAGGCATCTGCTTTACCTGTTTACTGGGGCATAAACTGTGGGCCCTCCAAGGTCAAAGCCACATCAGTCCTGCTCCCTGATGTGCTCCCCTCACTCCCCACCTAAACAGCACATGGTAGGCACTGCTGTCCAGAGGATAAATGGCATTCAGTCCAAAGCTCCTGGAGGTGGGGTTCCCATCTCCTTTGTTAGGTCCCCGATCCCACTCACATCCTCCTGCTACTGCATCTCAGCACTGGGCAGCGACAGCCACCCTGCGCCCAGTCCCAGAGCTGTGAAACCCCCTTGAATCATTACCTTCCCCCAATCTGAATTTCAAATAAATAATAACTTTTTAGTATAAGTATATTCCAAAAATACTACTGGAATGTGCTTATACCAAAATATAGCATTAGTATTTAGAAGAGTATTTGGTATTAGAATTTGGTTTAAATATGTCCCAAAGAGGGGTGCCTGGGTGGCTCAGTCGTTAAGCGTCTGCCTTCGTGCGGCTCAGGTCATGATCCCAGGAACGAACCCTGCACCGGGTCCCTGCTCGGCGGGAAGCCTGCTTCTCCCTCTCCCACTCCCCCTGCTTGTGTTCCCTCTCTCGCTGTGTCTCTCTGTCCAATAAATAAAATCTTTAAATAAAAATAAAAAATTAAAAAAAAATAAAAATAAAAAATTATTCATCTGAAATTCAAATTTAACTAGGACTTGTCCTATATTTTTATTTGCTAAATTTGGCAGTCCTAGTCTGACACATACATATTCAAAAATTAGTTATACGAAATATAGTATTAGTAAAAAGATTTTAAAATATAATAAATATGGGACACACTTATACTAAAAAAGTATTTATTGTTTACCTGGAATTTAAATTCAGGTGGGCATCCTGCATTTTTATTTACTAAACCTGGCAACCCTACCGTGGGACATAGCTACACTGAAAATTCCGTATACTACTATATATTTCTAGGTTTTAAAAATACACTAAAAGTGAAACCCTAATACTAAAAACCTCGTTGTTACCTGACATTTGAGGCTAACTGTGCCTCCTGTATTACTTCTTTGCGAAATCTGGCAATCCTATACTGGCACATACTCTACTAAAACAGACTTGTATTTTCTAAAACTATCTTAACATACTAAATGTGAGACACTCCCATAGTAAAGCAAACAAAGAAAAAACCACGTTGATGAAACGGAATTTCTGGCTCGCCGTCCCGCCTGGACACCGCCGTGAGAGCGCCTAACCGCCTCGCTCAGGCAGCCCCGCCCATCCTCCTACCCAGCCCCCGCCCTCACCTCACTCAGACGCGGCGTGCCCCGTTGCCATGGCGACCGGATACGTCCTGGGTAGCTCTGGGGCACCGCGGGGGCGAAGCAGCCCGTTCCGGGCGGCTTCCGATTGGCCGGCGCCGCCCAGCGCGTTACTACCCCGTCCCCCGCCGGGGAGTCCCGCGGCGGGGGACGCTCGGGGACGACTCTGCGCGCCTCTCCGGGCCAATGGCGGCCGCCCGCGGCGCGCGGGGTTCTGGGAGTTGTAGTCCGCGCGGCGGCGGCGCGGCTCGCTCGGAAGCCGAGGCGCCGCCATGACGGAGCGGCCCTGGCCGGAGCGGAGCCCGCGCGCGGTGAGTCCGCCGCGGCCCGTCCGGCCGTCCCGCCGCCTGTCCCTCGTCCGTCAGTGCGCCCGCCGGGCTGGCTGCCCGCGGGAAGGGGCCGGAGTCGGCGGGCGCTGGCCGGGGTCGCGTTAGAGGAAGCGCGGGTGGAGACGAGTCCGAGCTCGGGCGGGAGGCGCAGCCCGAGGCCGGCGGCGGGGCCGAGCCGGGCCGGGGAAGCCGTCGCGGGGCCCCGGGGATGAGGGAGACGGGCGAGCCTCGCGGGCCTCGCGGGCCACGCGGGGGGGGGGGGGCCGAGGTGGAGGTGGGCAGGGGGCCGGGGCGCGCCGTTGCGCCCAGCCCCGGCCCCGGTCGCGTCTCCCCTCCGCACCAGCCGGGGCGGAGAGCCCCTCCACCCGCGTTTGTCCACTCCGGACCCCACTCGGCCCGGCCCACGCCCTCCCTCCCCCCGCCAGCCGGCCGCCCAGAAGCTGACACTGTCAGCGGCAGATCTCGGTGCCCACCGCAGGTAAGCCTGGCCTGTCCGTGTGGCTCTGAGCCCTGCGAGTGACCCTCGGAGACGCCCCAGCATCAATGCAGGTTACCCGCAGAGTGGACCTCGCAGACCCCAGGGCCACGGTACTCCCCGTGCAGACCTCCAGCCCCGCGCCCACATCGGTGTAAGACCCCCGCTTCTTCCAGGGCCTCTGCTCAGCCCGGGTCTCCCGTTGGTTCCAGACCCCGCGTGAGGTCAGCACCCCCCACGGGCCGCAGACACGCGCCCGTGGGCCTTAGGTGCTGTCAGCGAGGAGCCCCGCTTTGCCCCCTCCCGATCCCCCACCAACTCCGCTCCTCCCTGCGTAGACTCCATCCCAGGACCCTGGAGGGTGCTGAGGGGCTGCGGTTCTTCGCCCTGGAGAATCTGCCCGGGGCGCACTTCCCCGCCGCCGGAGAGAAGGGTAAGGTCCGAGATCCCAGAGCAGAAGCACTGCTTGAACCTGTGAAGCTGCGAGACGGGCCCTTTTTCTTTTCCAAAAATACACATACGAAAGTGTTACTACGGCATAAGAGTGTTTTTGCCTGTGGTCTCAGCAGGGGTGACGGAGGTTGTAAACGCCCAGTCAGGCTGCGGCGGCGCCAAGAAGCAGGCTCGAAGACGGCTGGCAGGGCACGGCCCTCGTGAGTCGCCCTCCCTGCGTTTGTACACCTCTCCTTCCTGATTGTAAAACCCACACACGTGCTCATGAAGAGTGCTCCAGAGGATCAAGAAGGAAAAAGTCACATGGAATACTCCTCCACTTTTCACTTGTCATAAGCATTTCCCATGTCATTAAAAATCCTTCCTAACTGTTTTTGTTCTTTTTTTTTTTTCTTCATGATGAAGGTCAGACATCAATATACCATTTGGGGGAGATTAAGGAAGTACGAAGAACATAGCATTTGGCTGGCCGCCCTTGGGCCTTTGCCAGCGGCCCTTTTGGGGACCCTCATATATCATTTTACATCCCACTTTCCCCTGTACCTCATATCATCTGTATGTCACGTCTGCTTCCCTTGAGCATGTTATGTTCCCGTGCGTTTTGCAGTCGTAAATTCTCCGCCATGTGATGGGAGGGTAGTTGATCTCACCAGGCTGGACTGCTGGGCACTTTTGTTGTGATTCTTGGTGCCTAAATCTTTGTCCCAATTTCAGATAAATTCCACAGCATGCGAACTTCCAGAATGGTCTTGATATACAAGCTGCCATAGTGCTTTCCAGAAAGGTCGTGCCAGTTTGTACTTTGACCACTGGATCAGCACACAGGACAAGTGTTTAAAAAAAAAAAAAAATCTCATTTTTATTTTTACAACTTTGTTTTCTTCAGTTATATGTTCACTATGGGAAGCTTGGAAAATGCACAAAATGCTATTTTTTCACTGCCCTTCCCACTTTCCCTCTGTTTTTAAAGTCTCCTTCTCCCCTTGTCCTCCTCACCGCCTCCTCCCTCAGCCTTAACTTAGTAAAAACGGCAAGACAGCAGAGGCAGGGCAGGAGGCCTCTGTTGTGCTATTACATGGCATATCTGGCTGTTTCCATTTAAAGGGAATTTAAAGTCCAGTTCCTTATTTCAAGTGCTCAGGAGCCACATACTAGCTGGTGGCTACCATGCGGGATGGCACAGATGGAGACCATTTCCAACCCCGCAGGAAGTTCTGGGGGGCAGTGCTGGCTACTCCCAGGGCAGGAATCCAGTTCTCCTAGAGGCTCAGTAAACCATGTGTTGAATGACTAAATGAGTGAAGGAGGCAGATGTATGCTAAGTTAAGGAAATGAGATATGTTCACAATGAGGTAAGATTCGTGAAGACAGCACAATGAAGATGAGAAAAGGGTGATGGCGTGAGCCAGCGCATGGTGACATCCTGCGGTGGCGACAGGTGGGCTGGGATGAACATGAGAGTCGTGTGGGTGGGAACAGCAGGTACAAAGGTCCTGGGGTGACCAGTGCCTTGTTTTCAACACGATGTAACCCATGAGGGTCATATGGAAGGAGATCAGGTCAGAATGAGATGGGGAGGGCTCAGGTCAGTTCCTTGGGAACTAGAGGTCAGGGCAAGGAGGGGGGGAGTGAGGGGAGTCCTGAGCAAGGTGGTGGCCACCCTCTGATGTGGCCACTTTGCGCCTGCCCCTCTCTGCAGGCCCCCGACTGCTGACTGCATCCGCCTGCTGCCACCTGGGTTTGTCTGGAGCTGCTGGGACTGTCCTGGGATCCAGCCTGCTTGCCCCCTGAGGCCGGAGAGATGCTCCCGTTGGCCAAAGCCCTCGCCTCCCCCAGGAATCCCCAGACCCCGGCCCTGGGGGAGCAGGACGGGGCTCCTCAGCCGGCCAGCCCTGGGGATACTGAGGCCTGGCGCCTGCGTTTCCGACAGTTCCAGTACCGCGTGGCAGGCGGGCCACACCGTGCACTGGGTCAGCTCTGGATGCTGTGCCGCCAGTGGCTGCGGCCCGAGGCGCACTCCAAGGAGCAGATGCTGGAGCTGCTGGTGCTGGAGCAGTTCCTGGGCGCGCTGCCCAGCAAGATGAGGACCTGGGTGCAGTCGCAGGGTCCCCGAACCTGCAGGGAGGCCGCTACCCTGGTGGAGGACCTCACACAGATGTCGCAGCAGGAAGGTGAGGGGACGGGCCTCATCCCTAAGAGCGAGTGGCTGCCGGGGGGAGCAGGTGCCGGGTTTGGGTTCTGGCCAATGTCTCCGTGGCCCGGTGCCCAAGGATCGCGCTTCTTTTTCCTTTCGGACTCAGAGTGTCGCATCCGCCCAGCACTGCTCCCACCCACCCCCCACCCGCTCCTGTCCCGTTCCCTCTCCCGACCAGCAGCGCCCCAGGCCATCCGAGCAAACCCCCTGCCTGCACATGTCCTGCCAGTGCACATTGTCCTATCACACACCTGTGTTTTTCTTTGTTTTACATAAATGTCATTGTGCTGCACGCCTCTGTCTGCCTCACTTCTCTCGCTCAGTCGGTAATTGAGGATTTCTCCATTTTACCATGTGTCCATCTGGCCTGTGGCTTTGCATCTGTCTGCTCTCCCTCAGGAGGACCCCGGGTCTCAGCTCACACGAGGTGCTGTGAACCATGCCCCCCACCCCCTACCCCCGTCCTGTCCGGGGCTCCCGGAGGTTACTAGTCCTCCCCTGCGTCCAGTCCATGGGGCGCAGACCCGTCCCAGAGGCCCAACAGCTGGTTATGGAGACTGACGCCTAGGTCCACAGTTGTCACAGAACGAGTGTTGGAAAGAGCTCAGCAGACAGAGGGGTCTCAGGTAGCTGCAAGGTCTGCAGATGAATCTGAACACCCCCTCTCTCCCTCAGCTCCCCTTTCCCCTGCAGGGGCTTTGTCCCTGTGACCCTGTGTAGAATTGCCATCCTCCCAAGCCCCAGTTCCGAGGAATGGGGCTCCCTCTTTCCTAGTAATGTCAACAGAAGTGCAGACCCCATCACATCTGGAGGCGGTCAACCCTCAGGGCCTGGCACAGGTGCTGTGATCAGGGTATCTTCAGGCCCTAGGTTCAGAAAAACCTTGAAATCTACAGAAAACAGGGTTCCCAGGTCTCCACACTGCCCGCAGGAAGCAGGCTAACATGCTCGGGAAGGTTTTGCATGTCGCATTTTGCAGAGGCAAGAGCATGGTCCAAGTTGGAAGGCACTGATTGGCGTCAAGGAGTCTTGTTCCCAGGTTCCTGTGGAATCATGAAGACGTGCCAGGCAGATAAAGTGGCCCTTGGAACTCACTGTTCCAGGAACCAAGGGGCCAGAAAGCTTTTGTGTCTGGCCCTAGGTGGACCCATACAGCCCCCAGGGCCTCAAGCTTAGGAGGCCCAGGCTGGTGTTAATGCTTTGCTGTCACCATCTTGAGGTTCCCTATCATTTTTCAGCAAGGGGGTCGCGTACATATTTTGCATGGGGCCAGGTTGTGGTCCTATGGACAGGGAGGTAGTTGGAGTAGCAGGTGGCCGGGCCTGATAAGGCATCTCTACCTGCATGTGAATGCCTGGAAGTCCCCAGGGACACAGGCAGGAGGCATCTGCATGCTGCTGCCTCAAGATTGGGCTTTATTCCTTGGGAAAGGAAGCTCTCGGCAGCGGGTGTAGAATGGGAAGGGGCAGGATGAGATGTGCACTGAGGGAAGGTAGCCTAGGGGGGGGCTGGCTGGGGCAGGGCTGCGGGTGGGGTGCCTGAAGCCCAGATGGAATCCAGCATCTGGAATCTCCTCTTTCCTGTGGGTGGCCCTCTCCAGTCACCGTGGTTCAAGTGCAGGGTGAAGAGAGACTCAATATTTCCACGTGAAGTCCCTGATGGCTGGTGTCTGGAAAAATAACAGAACAAGTCTCTCCCCACCTTAGTCCATGGTGTATCCCTCCCTCTGGCCCAGCGGTACACCTGGATGCAGAGGAGTGTCATGCCCATTACAGCCTATTTACTGATATTGATGCTCTCGGGCACAAGAGGGAGAGCATTGGGAGAGAGAGCCTGCACCTGGGGCCCTGCCTTTATTGGGGGGAGGCTGTCTAGGGTCTCAGAGGTATAGTCTTTACTGGCTAATTTAAAGCAGAAGAGTGGGAATTAGGATGTGAGTAGGGGGAAGTGAGTCACCCAAACTGTCAGTTATCGAGACCACCCAAGGCCTTCTGAATGAGGGACCTCCATGAGTGGGGGCAGCCCAATTCCTTATCTGGTTTTTTGCTAGTAGCTTTGTCATACAGCTGCAAATATGTTTATTCCAGATGGAGGTCTCTGAAATGGATGCCTCAGCAATCAAAAGTTTAATGTCAGGCCCAGCTCCGTGCTCTCCCCACACCCATCATCCTACCCTCTGTCCACACAGCAGCAGAGGGAGTGATCAGCTCCTCCCATGTCAGCCCGGCAGTGGGGCTGACCCCAGATCCCTGTCCTGGCTGTGTGCCTTGATCATCTGCCTTTAGGGCCTCACCTCCCTATAACAGCCCTGAAGCCTTGACTCTCACTGGATCCAGGGGTAGCCAGCTCATCATCTAGGCCTGGCTCAGACATCCATCCCTCTGAGAGGCTGCCACGCAGGACCTCACCTCTCTTGTGACTTTATAGGGTTTATCCTTTCCCTGTGTGTCTGTTCTCTGTCCTAGTTTATGTGAGCTTCGTGAGATCAAGGGCTCTGCATGCACCTTCAGGTGGTTTCTGGACAGTGGACAGTCCCAGACACTTAGTGGGTGCAAGCCAATACAGGAGGGGGAGGTGCGGGTGAACAGAAACAGCAGGAAGAACCAAGGATGGGCATTTGGCAAGTAGCAGGCACTGTTGGGTATACTGTACAAAGTAAGGGTCCAACTTTGTTCTTTTGCATGTGGATTACCAGTTGTCCCAGCACCACTGTTGAAAAGACTCTTCTTTCCCCTACTGAATGGTTCTGGTACATTTGTGAAAAACCAATTGGCCAAAGATATGTGGGCTTAGTTCTGGACTCTCAATTCCTTTCAATTCTATGTCCAACTTTATGCCAGCACTGTACCTCTGTAGTAAGTTTTTTTGAAATCAGGAGATATGTGTCTTCCAACACTGTCCTATTTTAGGACCGTTTTGGCTATTCTGGGTCCCTCGGAATTTCATATACATTTTAGAAGCAACTTTTCCATTTCTGCAAAAAGAAGAAAAAAAGACTGTTGGGGTTTTGATAGGTATTGCATCGGACCTGTAGATCACTAAGTAGTGTTGCCATCTTAACGGTATTAAGTCTTCCAATCCATGAACGCAGAATGTGTTTATTAATAATAATAATTAATAATGATGTTATTTATTTAGATTTTCTTTAATTCCTTTCAGTAGTAGTTTTCCAGTTTTCAGTGTAGAAGTCTTGTATCTCCCAGGCTAAATTTATTCCTAAGTATTTTATTCTTTTTGATTCTATAAGTAGAATTGATTCTTTTTGTTGCAAATGAAATCTTCTGAGTTTCCTTTTTGGGTTGTTCATTGATGTTTTATAGAAACAACTAATTTTTATATGTTGATATTGTATCCTGTAACTTTGCTGAATTCACTTATTAGCTCTTGCCATCTGTGAATAGAGATAGTTTTTCTTCTTCCTTTCCAATGTATTTATTTTTTAAGAGATTTTATTTTATTTTTATTTTTTTAAGATTTTTTTTATTTATTTGACAGAGAGAGACAGCAAGAGAGGGATTACAAGCAGGGGGAGTGGGAGGGGGAGAAGCAGGCTTCCCGCTGAGCAGGAAGCCTGATGTGGGGCTCGATCCCAGGACCCTGGGATCATGACCTGAGCCAAAGGCAGACGCTTAATGACTGAGCCACCCAGGTGCCCTAAGAGATTTTATTTTTAAGTAATCTCTACCCCCAATGTGGGGCTTGAACTCACAACCCTGAGATCAAGAGTTGCATGCTCTATTGACTGAACCAGCCAGGTGCCCCTTCCTTTCCAATTTAGATGACTTTCCCCCCCTTTTCTTGCCTAATTGCTCTGGCTAGAACTTCCAGTACAATGTTGAATAGAAGTGGTAACAGCAAACGTCCTTGCCTTGTTCTTGATTGGGGGGAAGCTTTCATTCCCTCATAATTACGATGTTTTTATCATTAGAGGGTACTGGATTATATCAAATGCTTTTTCTGCATCAACTGAGATGATCATGTGGTCTACTAATATGGTGCATTATATAGCTTGATTTTGATGTATTGAACCACATAACAGTTTGATTATAGTGTGTCTCAGTGTGGATCTCTTTGAGTTTATCCTATTTGGAGTTTGTTCAGCTTCTTTGAATGTACAGATTCGAGTATTTTATCTATTTTAGGAAGTTCCCCGCCATTGTTTTTTCAACTATTTTGTCTCTCTGTCTTCCTCTAGGATTCCTGTTATGTGTCTGTTAGTATGTTTTATAGCGTCCCACGAGTCCCTCAGTCCCTGTTCATTCTTCTTCTGCTCCTCAGACTGTACAATTTTAATCAATCTATCTTCAAGTTTACTGGTCCTTTTCTCTGCCAGCTTAAATCTGAGGTTGAATCCCCCTAGCAAATTTTTCATTTTAGTTATTGTACTTCTCTGCTCCAGAATTTCTGTTCAGCTCCTTTATATAATTTCTCCTTATTGATATCCTTTATTTGCTGAGAACATCATTCTCCTGATTTTTGATAGTTCTTTGTTCATGGATTCCTTTAGCTCTTTGAGGGTATTTAAGACAGTTGATTTAAAATCTTTGTCTAGTAAGTCCAATGTCTGGGCTTCTTCAGGGACAGTTTCTGCTAATTTCTTTTTATTCCTGTGAATGAGATATACTTTCTTGGGTCTTTGCATGCTTCTTAATTTGTTGTTGGGAACTGGGCATTTTCAATATTTGATAATATAATGTGATAACTCTGGAGATCAGATTCTCTTCCCTCCCCAGGTGTTGTTGAGCCTGATGCAGGGCTTAATCCCAGGACCTTGGGATCATGACCTGAGCCAAAGGCAAATCCTTGACTGACTGAGCCACTCAGGTGCCCTATTTTGGAAACTTTTCTAAACTATTTTTGTAAATGCTACATTCTTTATTGTGTGTGCTCACTAAAGTTTCTGTTTCGTTAATTTAGTGTTTGGCCAGAAATGTGACAGAAATTTCCTTAAATGACTGTAGCTAACAAAACAAAACCCTCCTGGTTTTTGTAGGTAGGCTCTGAGTTGAGGTACTCCTTCAATGCTTAGTTTCTCCATTTACAACTCTCCTGAGCCTTGACTTCCTGGTTACATGGGGCCTAAAGATCAATCAGAGATGAAGGCTTGGGATCTTCTCATGTTTTCTACCATGTGTTTAGTCCTGATCATATGCATGGCCTGCTAGACTCTCTGGTAAAGCCTTTATTCCCACATGTACCTCTTTCTCCAGCCTGTAGTTTCCTAGGCTTTTTTGGTCTCTCTGCTGTTTGCTCCATCTGTCATCCCTGCTACAGGTGGTTGTGGCTAGTATATGCCTTCAAATGCTTTTGACAAATGCTGTTCAGGAGGCCACTCCAGTCCTGAGGGTTCTGAGAGGGCATAACGAAGGTAAACCCCTGAACTAATCCTTCAGGGAGTCACCAGACAGGTCACCAGACAAACATACAAATGCAATGCTTTGGGAACAAGATCTGTCCTGTCCCCTGTGGCTTCAGGAAGCCACACCAATAACATGGACTGCCATTCACACAGCCCCTCCTAGCTGCAGCATGGGGTTGGTAGGCGGGTAAGTAAAAATGCCATAACACCTTCTAGTTGAAATTTAATAGCTTCTTTCTATTAAGCATTCCCTCATCCTTGTTTTGTTTTGTTTTGTTTTAAATCAGATTCAAGTTCCCAAAAAGTTAACTCTGAAAGTTTTTGCTGGCTTAATTGTTGCTTCAGGGGAGGGACTGATTTTGGGAGCTCCCTATTCTGTGACGTTTTGGCAATGCTTTGCCATTTGGCAAAGCAAACTTTCTGTTTGCTTTTTAAAAATGTTATTGAAACATAATTCCCATACCAAATAATTCACCCATTTAAAAAAATGCAATTCAATGATTTTGAGTATATTTACAGAGTTGTGCAACCATCATCACCATCTAATTTCAGGACATCTTATTCACCCCAAAAGGAAACCTCAGATCATTAGCAGTCACTCCCCATTCTTCTCTCCCCCCAGGCCCTGGCAATCACTAATCTACTTTTTTGTCTTTATGGATTTGCCTGTTCTGTACATTTCATATAAATGAAATCATATAATATGTGGCCCTTTGTGTCTGGCTTCTTTTACTTAGCATAAGGTTTTCAGGGTTCATCCATGTTGTAAAATATATCAGTACCTCATTCTTTTTATGGCTGAATAATATTCCATGGGATGGATATACACTGTTTCTTCATTCATCATTTGATGGACATTTGGGTTGTTTCTACTTTTTGGCTATGATGAACAATGCTGCTATGAACATTCACATACAGCTATTTGTGTGGACATGTTTTCATTTCTCTTGGGAACACACCTAAGGAGGGGAAGTATGGGGTCATATGGTAACTCTATGTATAACTTTTTGAGGAACTGCCAAATTGCCTTCCAAAGCAACTGTTTGCTTTTTATAGAACACATTTTCAGCCTACAAAACTGTATGAAAAGTACTATAGTGAACACCCATGTAACGGCCATGAAGCCATCTCAGAGCCTAACCTCCTGAAAGGCAGCTTAAGTTGTTATTTAAAGAAATGACACATTGTGGAGTTCACTAGGTCCACAGTGCAGGTCTCCTCCACATTCCTCTTGCCCCGCTCACCCTGCTGTCCCAGAGCGGGGCAAGGCCTTGAATTTCTCATTGCATGTGCATGTTTGTACTTTTTCTTCTTATTTTGTATCCATAACAGTGTATGGCTCTGTTTCCCATGTCCTAAACCTATAAATGGTGTCCTTCCATAACCGTTATCCTGCCCTGGTTTTTGTCCCCCTACAATGTGTTTTGTGGTGGATCCATGGGTCCCTGCTTCAACTATCTTTGCTACCTGACTACATTCTACCTCAGTAGGGTTCCAGTTGTGGGATGAGGCCCCCGTCCAGGCTTTCCATGTTAGTCAGTACTGCAGGAAATGTCCTCATGGGCCTCTCAGGGGCACACATGGGCATGGAGTGTTGGGTGAGAAGACCCGTCCTCAGCTGCTTCTCATGTCACTGGGGCCTCATGACTGGCAGCCCTAGAAAGGTCTGGAGCAGGGGGTGGGGCTGTAGGTAGAAGCTTGTTGGAAGGATAAAGGCAGTGGCATATATTGCTCTTGCCCTGGCCTCCCTGGGGTCTTCAGAGATGCTCATGGGATTGGTTGCCCCCCCCAGTGCAGGAAATACGGGGATTTAGGGGCTGTGGGTCACGCAGGCCTCTCACCATCCCTTTCTCCCGCCCAGTTCTGGTATCTCTCAACGACCACCAGGATAAGAGCATCAGCGAGGAGGAAGACGGGAAGAGCCCGAGGTCCCAGAAAGACCCATCCCAGGTGAGCCCAGGGCCCCTGGCTCCATGCTCCTACATTCCTGGGGCACCATGAGCATCACTGCTGTGACAGGCTGAAGGACATCCCACCCAAGCTCTGTGCAAGGCTGTCCCAACACTCCCAGGAAGCCTGAACTCCACACCTCTAACCTGTGCCACAAATCCCAAAACTTGCTGTAGCTCAGTGCTGGGCAAAATACAGCTACTAGGTTGTGCTCTGCTGCAGACCATCTTCATCCCCCTCCACCGGGGGGGGGGGCAGGCCCTCTGCTCGTTCTTTACCAGGCACCAGCCAGATGCTGAGGTCCCCATCCTCGTGTATAATCCACAACTACATGCTGGGTATATTGAAAGATTTCTGGTGCTGCCCCTCCAAGTGCTGCCACGTAGGAGCTTGGGTGCCCTCGCCCAGATGCCGTCCACAGTATTAGTGTCTGTAGTAGTCGGGTATGAACCCGAGAAGCCTGTGGATTCTTGGAGGGGCTGGGAAAGACCCCAAGAGGGCATCCCCGACAGCAAGATCTATTCTTGCAAAGGCCCCAAGTGAGAGGGGACCATGGTGTCTGTCAGGGACCAAGGGAAACTTGGTGTGGCTGGAGCTCATGGAGTGACGGGGACAGGCCCCCAGCAGGGACTACAGTGATTAAAACAGTGGGGGCCAGACGATGTCGATTTGATAACAGGCAAAACACAAAAGAAACAAAAACCAGACCACATTCCCTTCCCTCGGGCGTCAGGCAGATTCACGGCACCTTGCTCGCACCTCCTGTGGCCTCTGTGACCTCACCCTTCTTCAGACCATAGGCCCTTCTGTCTCCCACTGACTTGCGCTCTCTCAGATGTTAACCCCCAATGCCAAGGCCCTGTCAGGACCTGCATCCCCGGCACACGACTGTCAGTCTGGGTGTCCTTGAGACACCCTACCTCTCTCTCACATGGGGGTCGTGTGGCCTCCCTCAGTCACGACCAATACCACCATCTCCCCTCCCAAGCCCCTCCACGCCATTCACAAGCAACCTCAAAGAATCTTTGGCTTCCTTTCGTCTTCTATGTCCACGCTCAGAGAGAAAAAGAACAGGAGTCATGTGCTTCCCTTTTAAAAATGGGAATGTTACAATGAGCACACGGAAAGATGCTGAAGATCACTAGCCATCAGGGAAATGCAAATTAAAACCATGATGAGGTGTCACTACACACCTACTGGAATGGCTAAAAGTAGAAAGAGGGACAGCAGCAAGTGCTGGCAAGGATGCGGAAAAACTGGAACTGTTTCATTGCTGGTAGGCAGGCGAAGGGGTAAAACCAATCTGGAAAACGGTTTGGTTGTTTCTTACAAAGTTAAGTATACACGTGACACATGACCCAGCAATCCCACTCCTGGGATTGGGTGTTTAGCCAGATGAAACGAAAACTTATGTTCCTACAAAAACCTGGACACAAATATTCACAGCAGCTTTGTTTGTAATAGCCCCAAACTGGAAACAACCCACATGTGCATGTGATTGGATAAACATTCATTTATCCTGCACACCATGGAAAACTACCCAGCAATATAATGGAAGAAACTCTTGATTCACACACAACTTGGATGGATCTGAAGGGCACCATGCTGTCAAAACAGTTAATCTCAAAAGGTACATACTATGAAATCCCATTTATATGACATTCTTGAAAAGACAAAATGATAGCCACAGAGAACAGATCAGTGGTTGCCAGGCAGGAGTTCTGGGTGGAGGGAAAATGTGACTATGCAGGGGTAGCATGTGGGAGGTTTCTCTGGGTGGTGGAACCTTCTGGTCGTGATTGTGGTGGTAGTTTCACGAATCTATATACGTGTTAAAATTAACAGGCCTGTACATGTACACACACACACACACTATCGATTTTATATTATTAAGTAAAATTAAGAAAAATTAAGTTAAAGGAACCATTAAAAAATGATATTTCCCATTAAGCCAAAGTCCAGTCCTTTCTGTGTTCCCAGAGACCACCCCCTCTTAGGATGCTGGGGTCTAGTATCATATTGAGGTTTTTTGATTTGCATGCCTGGTTTTTTGAAGGACCCACTAGTCTGAATCTTGTTTCTTCTCTGGCTCCTATGTTCTGCCTGGAGACCATTTTCATTCTTTAATTAGTAACAACAGAAAAAAGACATCTGAACAAAAACATGAGACAAAAGACGAATAATGCACCCAGTGCTCTGCCGAAGAGCTCAGCCCACCAAAGAAACACCTGTGTACCTCTGTAGACAGCAGCAGCAGATCATCCCCACCCTTGAATTCACCTGCATGAATCTCTATCTCTGACCTGCTATGGCTGGGGAAGAAGAAAGGAGTTATTCTTAACTGTCTTGTTCTAGGCTTGCAGGAGGAAATATCTTCTTATAAAACTTTTTCAAACACACACCATGTGGTAGGCTGAAAAATGCCTCCACCAACCCCTTTTGCCCCACCAAATGTCCATGTCCCCATCCCCTGGAACCTGGGAATGCTACCCTAGGTGGCAAAGGGGACTTTTCGCAGGTGTCATTAAGGTAGGACCGTAAGAAAAGGAGAGTACCCTGGATTATCTGATTGGATTCTAAACGTAATCACAAGTGTCCTTATAGGAGGGAGGCAGAGGGAGGTTTAACTACAGAAGACAGGACCGTGACCTGAGCACAGAGGTAGTGAAGATGGAGTAAGGTCCACAAGGCAGAGAATGTGCATGTCTAGAAGCTGAGAAAAGGCCAGGAAACAGACTCTCCCCTGGAGGCTTCAGAAGAAATGAGCCTTGGCAGACACTAACTTTAGCCCGGAGAAACTGATTTCAGACTTCTGGCCTTCAGAGCTGCAAGAGAAATTTGTGTTGTTTTCGGCCACTAAGCTTGTCATGGTTTGTTACAGCAGCCATGGGAAACGAACACACACTACATACACCCAAGTAGAGAGAATAGAGTAATGGACCCAGGGTTGTATTCGGACTTACGTGGGCCCTAAGAATTTTTGTCCGATAAGAGTCATATCAAAGTTATACTCATGAGCTTCCACAAAATAGTAAAAGTTATATTTTACGACCATTTGGTACAAAGATGAATACATTCCAGGCTGGAGTAGTCACTATATTCATTTTTTTTTCCTGACTGATTTTAAAAGACATTAAAACATATTGCAAGAAACTCGTTTCTCCAAAAAGTTTCATGGGCCCTGGGCTGTTTCTGGCACGTGGTGGAGAAGTCAGCCCCAGATGGGCCACAATGCCTGACACATGGCCAGATGCGTTGATGGAAACCCCTTTTCCATCCTGGATTCTCCCCTGGGAAATCACAGACATGCTCACACCCCATCTCCACACTCCCTACAAGTAGGGCCTGGGCTTCAAGGACTCTTTTTCCTCAACTGAATCTATAATATCTTTTTTAGTTTTGTATTGAGATATAATTGATGTGTAATATTATGTTAGTATCACGTGTACAGCAATGATTGGATATGCATATATTTTGTGAAATGATCAGCTACAGTAAATCTAATTTAACATCTACCACCACAAAAAGTTACAAATATTTTTTCTTGTGATGAGAACTTTTAAGATTTGCTCTCTTAGCAACTTTTAAACATACAATACAGTATTATTAACTATAGTCTCCATGCTGTACATTATGGGCCCAGGACTTACTTGTTTTAAAACTGGAAGTTTGTACTTTTTGACCCCCTTCATCTATTATATTCCCCCACACACACACCCACACACTCCTGGCAAAGCATCCAGACTCTTCTTTTTTTAGACATACACCCAGCTCCAACTGCCTCAACTAAAACCATTAACAGTAATCCCTCAACAGCAGTAAATAGCTGGTTGGCATTCACATTTCCCATTGTTCTTATTTTCTTTTTCTTGGCTGCTTAGACAACAGATTTGGGCCCCACATCCCACTCATTGCCCCTCACTGTCCGTGGAATGATCAGAGCCCCGGTCAACAGGACTCTGGGGACATTTTTTGTGTTTGGAGCTATAGAGCAGGCTCAGAAATGTCCTGGTATTCTGTGCGTGGCCCATGTGTGTTTGTCAGTGTCTTCACAGGTCTCTGGATGGTGGCCCACACTTCCAAGTCAGGGGAACTAACATGCCCTAACATGCTCCCCCCCCCACACACACACAGGTCCTGAGCCTTCTCTCAACCCCTCATCATCCATGGTCATGGTCTCAGGCCACTGAGGAGGAGGCGGGACTCTCAGCAGCTGAAGGTCTTAGGTGGTCAGGTCCCAGAAAGAGAGAGGGACTCCTGCCTACCCCCTTGCAGATGGCGGCCCCTCTGGTGACTGTTAGAGAATTCAGTAGATGTTTGTTTTACACTGAAAACTAGTATTTAGTAAGAAACAGAAAATCAATAATTCAGCCAAACACACCAACCACATATTCCCAGCCTCAAAGTGAAGAATCTCATAACTTAATTCTCTCCCACGGCACCCCATTCCCAGCTCCCTCCCTCCCTCAGTCCCTAGTGCCTAGCAGTCCTAGCCTGGGTCTTTGGGGGGCCCTAAATCCCCACACCTGTATCCGAGGTGGGTGACAGCAGCAGAAAGCAGAGACCAACCCAAGATAGGCCTTTCTGACATGCGCTTGACCTCCTGGTTGATTCTCACTTCTTGTTTTCCCAGCACACTTGAATATTGTCCATTTGTACTGAGGGGTGTCATTGTGTTCTTCCTCTAGCCACAAACCCTGAATGATCCAGCCCACCACAGTGGAGGCTGGTCAAGCCCTTGCCAGGTGCCTGGCTCTGAGCACGTTGTGCAGATATCCCCTTTCAGGCCCAGAGAGGGAAAGCCCCTTGCCCAGGGCCACACAGCAAGTAGGGCTAGCCTGGATGCAAAGCCAGGGCCGTACATTTCAGATCCTCACTCCTCAGCAGCAGGCTCTGAGACCCCACTTTGTGTGGGATTTGTGTGCCTGTTGGTGGGATGGGTGACAGGTGAGACGCGGAGTCCTATTGCTGCTCATCACCCTCTGGGGGACTTGTTCTCAGGGACAGTGCAGCTACTAGGGGCAGGTCAGAACCCCACAGGTGATACTGACCTCAGTCCTCACATAGGGCCGGATGCTCTGTTTAATGCTATGCTGTTGCTGTGAACATCAGTGGTTTTCAAGTGAGGGTGTACTATTCAGGGTTTTCCACGGAAACAAAACCAGTAGGATTTATATAGACATAGAGAGAGATGTATTAAAAGGAACTAACTCACACGATTATGGAGGCCAAGGAGTCCCCGATTCGCTATCTGCAAGCTGGAGACACCAGAAAGCCATCTCCAGGGCAGGGAACTTCATCTCAAGCCCAAAGGTCTAAAGACCACAGGAGTCTCACTCTGAGTCCAAAGCCCAAGAATCAAGGAGGGGTTCAATGTCTTAGGGCTGAATGTGGCTGTCCCAGCTCAAGCAGAGAGCACAAATGCACCCTTCTGCCTTTGTGTTCCACTTGGGCCCTCAACGGCTTGGGTGATGCCCACCCACATTGGTGAGGATGATCTTTATTCAGACTGCCAGTACAAAAGCTAGTCTTCCCTGGAGACACCCCCACAGATACGAGAAATGATACTTTACCAACTATTGGGCCATCCCTTAGCTGATTGACTCCTAGAACTAACCATCACAAAGGGGCCTTGCGTTTTCATTTTGCACAGGGAGACCCTCGAATTATGTCTCCAGTCCTAGTAACAGTCCTCTGGGAATGTGCGTTTGGGGTGTTAAAATTAAATACAAAATGGAGAACAGACTTGAACATTCCATGAGCAGACAAAACCACTTACCACATAAGTGAGACTTAATTTCGTGTGTTCTGCAAAACAAGCAAAACATAACCTGGGCCACCTCGTGCAAATACCTCTGATGATCAGTAAAGAAACTTGTCATCTTCCTAAACACGGTATAAGATAATCACTTTGAGCCAGCCCCTGCTGTCTGGAAACCCCTTTGTAATAACCATCATCAAGAAGGTTAAACGACCTCCTCATTTTCACTGTACAAGCCTCCAGGCTTCATATCAGTCTTGGATTTCAAAGCTCCCAGTTCGTAGACTATTTTTATTTGCACAATAAACTCTTACTAAATACTGTTTATTGGTTTGGTGGCTTTTTTTTTTTTTTGGCACCTTTTTGGGGAGGAGGGAGCGGTGGCTTTAGTTTTACTATTCTTGGGGTTTTGAAAGGAGGCAATACTGTCCCTCTGCTGTGGTGGCACTGGGCAGATGGCTCTCTGGTGGCTGCTCCAAGCCCTGGCGGCATGGGGCAGTTGCTGAGCAGGACTGTGTTTGCCATTCCAGGCATCGGAGCTGGGGCTCCCCCAGGAGGGCGAGTGGCTGCAGCCTGCCCAGCCCCAGCGGAGTCCCCACACCAGGGCGGGGGCCGAGGCATCCTGCACCCTGGGCTCACTCGGTGAGTGTTTGGGTCCTACGGCAATCCTGAGGGCTGGGAACCGATTTAAAGTCTGGCAAGGGTTTGACTATGCTGATGGCAGTGTTGGGGGGCTTTGGTGATGAACTCTATACCTTCCCCCAGAAATTGTGCACACCAGGAGTGGGGACTGATATTGCGCCCCACCCCCGCCCCCACAACAGCCACTCAAACGTTTCCACCCCTTGCCCAGGGCTTCAGCCTCCTAGCATGAAGGCAGACAGACTGAAGATGCTGCAGCATGGGGTCCCCTCGGCAGCCTGCCCAGGTGAGGACAAGGGGGCCCGGGGCCATGGGATCTGCCCCCCAACCCCACCTATCCCTTTATCTTAAGAAAGGAAAGGACTGAGGGCACTAAGGCCCTGCTGAGTACAGGTTACGGGCTGCCTGCTCTTCTCAGCAGTCCCTGGGGGGGGGGAGGAGGGCAGGGGGATTCCCAGAGTGTGGCCTCCAGCCCCTGCTCCTTCGCTAACAATTAACCCTTTTCCCTCACCCTCCCCAGGCCTGGGCTGCTCGCCTCTGAAGCCTAGTATCTGGGATGAACCTCCCTGTGGGCAGGTTGGGGACAGAGCCCTGAGGAACAGACACTCCCTCCCCAGGCTGGCCCAGGACGCTCCCCAGGCAGAAGGGGGTAGCTGGCAGGCAGGGGCTGCCCCCAGGGACGCTGTGCTTCAGGGCACTGGAGGCCAAGGGCCTGCTCCCGAGGGGCCCCTGCACCCGAGCCCTCAGCCCGGCCTGGTTGCAGACCCCACCCTCCCAAGTGCTCAGAGCAGCAGTCCCCCAAAGAGACCTGCGGACAGCGATGCCCACCTGCCCTTACTCAAAGACACCAAAGCCTCCCCTGAAGAGGCGGGGCAACCGGCTGCTGCCCCCTCCCCGGGGCGCTCAGCGGCGACCCAAGTCCCCCCAGGGGCGCGGCCCTTCGCGTGTGCTGAGTGCGGGGAGGTCTTCACCTGGGTCACCCACTTCATCGAGCACCAGAAGCGCCACCTGGAAGAGGGGCCCTTCTCGTGCCCCGAGTGCGGCAAGGCCTTTCTGCACGCCTCCGTCCTGGAGGAGCATCGGAAGATCCACCTGCTGCAGCCGCTGCGCAAGAGGCCCCGGCGGGGCGGGGGCGAGGGGCCAGGGGAGGCCGGCCCGTTGGAAGCGGCGGACGGAGGCCCCCGCGCCCAGGATGCGGATGGAGACCGGCGCGGGGAGCCCTCCGGCCGCGAGCGGCCCTTCGAGTGCGGCGTCTGCGGGAAGGCCTTCCCCTGGATGGTCCACCTCCTCGACCACCAGAAACTGCACGCCACGCAGTGAGCGGACGCGGGCCCCGGGTGACAGCGACCCCCGCCGGACTCGTCCTGCAGGCGACCCGGGACCCGCCACCCCCGCCGCGTCCCCCCCGGTGACAGCGACCCTCGGAGGGCTCGTCCTGCAGGCGACCGGGACCCACCACCCCCGCCGCGTCCCCCCCGGTGACAGCGACCCTCGGAGGGCTCGTCCTGCAGGCGACCCGGGACCCGCCCCCCCCGCCGCGTCCCCCCCCCGGTGACAGCGACCCCCGGCGGACTCGTCCTGCGGGGCGACCCGGGACCCGCCGCGTCTCCCGGGCGTCGCCGCGCCTGCCACTTACCCCGGGTGACAGCGACCCTCGGCAGACTCCCCCTGTGGGGCGACCCGGGACCCGCCGCCTTCCCCGGGTGTCTCCGCGCCCCCGCCGCGTTCCCGAGTGACAGCGACCCCCGAAGGGCTCGTCCTGCGGAACGACCCGGGACCCGCCACCCCCGCTGCCGAGTTCCCCAGATGACAGCGACCCCTGGCGGACTCGTCCTGTAGGCGACCCGGACCCGCCGCGTCTCGGGGTGTCGCCGCGCCTGGCGCTTACCCCGGGTGACAGCGACCTCCGAAGCGCTCGTCCTGCGGAGGGCCCCGGGACCCGCTGCGTCTCCCCCGTGTCGCTGCGCCTGCCGCGTTCCCCGAGTGACAGCGACCCCCGAAGGGCTCGTCCTTGGGGGCGACCCGGGACCCGTCACCCCTGCCGCCGCGTTCCCCGGGCGACAGTGACCCCCGAAGGGCTCTTCCTGCAGACGACCCGGGACCCTCCGCGTCTCCCGGGTTTCGCCGCGCCCGCCGCGTTCTCCGTGACAGCGACCCCCCGAAGGGCTTGTCCTGCGGAACGACCGGGCCCCGCCACTCCCGCCGCCACGTTCCCCGGGTGACAGCGACCCCTGGCGGACTCGTCCTGCAGGCGACCCGGGCCCCGCCGCGTCTCCCGGGTGTCGCTGCGCCTGGCGCTTTCCCCGGGTGACAGTGACCCCCGAAGGGCTCGTCCTGCGGGGCGACCCGGGCCCCGACGCGTCTCCCGGGTGTCGCCGCGCCTGGCGCTTACCCCGGGTGACAGTGACCCCCGAAGGGCTCGTCCCGCGGAGCGACCCGGGACCCGCCGTCCCCGCCGCCGCGTTGCCCGGGTGACAGCGACCCCTGGCGGACTCGTCCTGCAGGCGACCCGGACCCGCCACGTCTCCGACTGTCGCCGCGCCGGCCGCGTTCCTTGGGTGACAGCGACCCCCAGCGCCGCGCTCAGCTCGGCGGTCGGCCGTCTGTGCTCCGCAAGCTACAGAAGAGGAGTTTCGCCGGCGCCACCGGTTCCAGGAGCCTTTCCCGGGGCGCCAGGTCGGCCTCGGTGCCTTTGACCTGGCCGCCCTCCCGCGCTCCGCGGGAGGCTTGCGGCCCGCCCAGCCCCTGGAAGCCTGGCACACGCGTGGGGCTCTTTTATGTGGAACTTTCCTCTTTTTTTTTTCTTTTTTTTTTTTTGTCTCCCCATTCCTTTTTCACGACAAAGTACACACAACAAAACTTGCCATTTTAACTACTTAAAATGCACAATTCAGTGGCATTAGGTACATGCATAACGTTGTGCAACCATCACCACCCTGTATTCTGGAATTCTGCAATATTTTCATCACTCCCAAAAGGGTTCCCCATACCCATTAGCAGTCACTCCCCATCTCCCCTCCCTCAGCCCCCGACACCTATTAATCTGCTTTCTTTCTGGATGGATTTCGGGCAGGGTTTTTAGGTCCAACCAAATCTGACCAGCACGTGATTTTGATTCACAGAATGACTTTTTTTTTTTTTAGCTAAATGCCAACATTTTTCAAATCATAGATGTCACATAAAAATCTGGCATTATCGTCACCCTGGATTTCCCAAGAGCAGGTGTGGGGTCTCCCAAGCACCTCAGTTTACCCTACCACTTCTGGGGACAGCGTGTGCGCACCTGGATTCGGCTTTTCATCCATCCCCAGCTCTTCATTGCTGGGCACCACTTGCCCCATGTAAATGAAAGCCTTACAAGTTTTTTTGTTCTTTTATTTTGTTTTTTGAACTTTACTTGGAAATAGTGTTGGATTGACTCTGACCACATGTAAGCAGAGACCTTCTCCTTTAAATCATCCATAAGTTGCCTTTCAACTGGAAAAGCCTTTGGATCTGCCCTGCCCAGCCCACTGCTGCTTCTCCACCACGCTGCCTCCTGCATCCCACTTGTAGCCTCTGTCCCCTAGCTCCGTCCTGGGCCATGCAGATCCCTCCACTGCCTTTGCACCCTTCGCCGTGCTTGCCTTCTTGGAATTCTCACTAGCTGGGCCTCCAGACCTTGCTTGCGGCTCACTCCAGCATCCTGGCTTATCCTTGAAGTCCTCACTGGGGGCTTCTGGCTCTACTCCATGCCTTAATTTCTCGTGGGCTCCAGCTCTTTCCTAAGCACCTTCTTTCTCATCCTGCTGAGGCAGGGTTTCTTCCTTGGAGCTCAGGTGACAAGGGTAGGGGTCTTGGCCCTACAGTCAGCCCCTGATTCTTCAGGTACAGCACACATGATGGACAGGTTTGTTTAAAATGACAGGACATGTGGACAAAGAAATCGCAGTGTCCCCACTTGTTGGGGCCCAGAGGTTTATTCCAATGCATTTTTCATTCTAATTCCCCCTAAGCCAGAGGCACATTCACCGCTCTCTGGGTTGAAGCAGGATTGTACGAGAGAGTGGAGGCTGCTGCCCACAAGACGTCAGTCAGGCCCCTCACTGCCATGGGCCCCAGCCATCCTCACGCTAACAGGTCCAAAGATGGGGTTCTCGGAAGATGTCTGCCCGGGCATCCCACAGACCAACTGCCCTCCAGAGACATCTGCCTGATGTCCCTCAGTCCTCCATCTGAGCTTGTCCAAAGAACTCTTGATGGAAAGAAAAACAACTGCCTCCCCTATGCCATCCCTCCACCCTCCAAGGCCCAAGGATCACCCTGTTCTCTTCTCTCCTCTGCACTTAACTGCCCCAGCCTCCCTTTCTTCTATCTTCTTTTTTACATCTTTGAATGTCTGCAGCTGCCTCTAAGCAAACTCTGCCTCCAGCCCATTTCCCTCCATTCCACCCAATACCAGCAGCCGCCAGGATCCCTCTGAAACAGCCACACTGAGATGACATAAAGCCCAGCCGACCAGTTCCCTCGAATCCCTTCCTGCTTCAGTAGCCCCCAGCGCTGGGGTGGTGTAGGCTGGCCTCCTGCACCCACTCTGTCCCTGCCTGTCTCCACAGTGACTCCCATGCTGGGCCTCCTCCCCTCCTCAAGGGCTGCCTCCTCTGCCCAGAACAGTCTTCACTGGAGCATTTTACTAGTGCCCAGCACAGAGCAGCCCTTTGCGAGTGAGAATGGGTGAATGGTAATCAAATGAGTAAGTGAGCTGCAGCCACTGCCAAGACCCCACCTCAGGGCTTCAGTGATCAGCCAAGGAACCTTACTTGGACCTCTGAGGAGATGGGGTGGCAGGAAGCACCACGGAAGGCCACCCTCAACACTCTCTGCCTTGGCTGACACAGGCACGGATTGGCCCAGGGTCCTGGCCCTGAAGAGTCACTCCTCAGAATCCCGATTCACCAAAGCTGCTAAATTGAGTTAACTGCCCAGCCTGCCTAGTCCCAAGATGCTGCTCAAGCTGTAGTGAGGTAGACCACCAGCCCCCCTCTTCTCTTTCTGCTCACTCCATGCATGCTTGGCTCACGCTCCGCTTTCGTCTGCCAGTGTCCCCTGCAGGACCCCAACACCTGCCCACTGGGACACTCCTCAGCCTCCTTGTCTGTCCTCCAGCGCTTGTCACAGAGCATCTGCTGGGCCAGGTACTGGGTGCTGTGATGCAGTGCAAGTCCTCATCATCTCCCGCTCCAGAACCAGAGGCAAACATACCACCCTCCTCCCCACCACAGTCAGGGCCTCTGGGAGCCGAGGCCTGGGCACTGCTAGGCTTTGAGGCTCCCAAAATGATTTTTTTTTTAAAAAAAAGGATGAAATATATATACAAGGCTAAACACTGTAATATATTTAAATGTATATATCGAACAATTTAACAAAAATTGTGTAATGAAGTTGTGCTATCCGTGACATGATTATAGAATTCCTTGAAACCTACACTGATTCCTAATGCAACTGCTCCTGGTGCGGTCCTGTCACAACCAGGTGGAGGCGACCCCTGTGGTTAGAGGAAGCTGAGATTGGCATAAGTGGGGCCCAGCCACTGGCTACAACATGGTCTGGAGGGGTGGAGGCAACACAGAGCTAGCCTTCAGATCATCTTGTTTAATTGATAGTGTTTTTAAACTCTTTGAATTTCCTGTGAATCAAGAGATTTCACACACAAATCCAAATCTTTGGCTTCTTTTGAGAAGTACAGACCTGGTACACTGGGCTTACCTGTTCACATGGCACCAGTTGGTTGAGACCATCAGCACCCATCCCTTTAGAGCCCAGCCCCCGCAGGCATTTGAGTTTGTGAAAGCTGGTTGGAAATAAACAAGGATTAGGAGGGTAGAGGAAGATAACAGAGGGGCAAGTCCCAAAGGAGCTAAGCAGGGCAACCTGGCTCAATATTAGGGCTGGGGTATGTCCCCATGAGCAGGCAAGTCTGTGTGGCACCACAATCAACAGCTCATTACCAGGACTCTGTGCAGACCTTTTGGGGAAAAGATTCCATCATGAGTAGTGTGTACACGCCCTCTGATACAGTAAAAGGAGGGTGGGGGAAGAGTACACATTTTGTGGAAGAAAAAACTAACAGAAAAAATAAGTCTCTTTTTGCATTTTGGTTTGCAGGTGAAAGAACTGATAACTGGCATTTTACGTATATTTTAAAGCCTTCATACTGTAGTACAGAGAAGAGAAGATGGGCTTTCAGTATGACAATCACAAATGTGGGCCTTTATGTCTTTGAATGTACAAAACACTTTAAAGAAAAGCCGTTAAGCTTGTCTTTGCCTTGTTTACATCAG